CTCTCTCTCTCTCTCTCTCTCTCTCTCTCTCTCTCTCTCTCTCTCTCTCTCTCTCTCTCTCTCTCTCTCTCTCTGTGTGTGTGTGTGTGTGTGTGTGTCCCCGTGTCCAGTCCAGGCTTCTGGCAGCTGCAGATGCCTTCAGTGGCCCATCCTGGCACCAGACTGAACTCTGCCAAGGTGTTTCCACCAGGCGACTGTAGCGCCCGTACAAAGGGCCCTTACTTGGGAACTGGCTATTCAGTACCCACTTCAAAGGGTAAATAGGAAGTGTGAAGTAGAAGAGAGACTGCGACCCAGCAGGATCCAGTTTTCTTGCTGAAAACTGCAGTGAGACGCCCCCTTGCCAGCCAGGTTGAATTTGCTTAGTGCCCTCTGGCATTGATCTGCAGGTGTACTTTTGGGGCTTCCAGAAAAGAGGTATCGGGACTTATGACTAATGTCTAACAACCTAATTTGACTATTTCCTCCAAAGCCCTTTTCTGCTATGACTTTCTTTAACTTCCTAAGGTAGTGATGGAGCAACTCTAAAGTTTTCCTCTCAAGTTAGTGGGTTTAGAAGCCTGGCAGGGTGGCTGTAGCTTCCCCATTCTTCCCAAAGATGGGATAGATGATCAGGGTAAAGTGGCAGTGTAGTTTCTCTTTTAATAAAGAAACAGTTTTGAGAAGGAGACTACTGTGAGGGCACCTCTTGACTCAAAGGCTTTATGAAACCCCTACCTAGGGCACAGGTACGCTCAGTGGCCTGCACTAAGCATTTCTGTACCTTACAGTCCTTCTTGAATGACCAGTCTCTGTTCACTGAGTTAAAGGAACTACTTAAGGCTAATTCTGGTTTGAGGTCTGGCTTATTCTTTTTTGTAGTTCTTGTATTTGTAAAGGGATTGAATTGAATCTTGATTGTTGAGTATAGTAATGATAAGCTCCTCTATCACAGACCAGGGAGTAATCAGCAGGGCTCCTTTGGGCCGAGTCTGAGACTAATGATGAATTTCTTCATTACAGGTTGTTATATTTCATTGGCAGGTGGGAAACAACTTTTTCTCCTATAGTTTGTGATCATGCTACTTTAATTCTGGAGTCCTACTGTCCTTCCCTGTTTTGACCTATTTGGGAGCACTTATGTTCAAGTCACATCCCAGTTTGTAGAAGTAGTGCTTTGGGTCAACTCTGAAGAATAATTGAACAACAATCCATATTTTCACCTGGGACTCCTTCCCTTAGAGGTTACTGAAGGAAAGGGAACATGTGTAATGATTGTGGTGATAGAGTTAACATTGACGATTTGCCAGTGGTGAGTTTTAGAGTTGTCAAACAGCTGGCAGTTTTCTACCTGGAAAGAGCTCAGAGTATCCATGACACATGGGACATCCTATTCAGGATATTTCCACACCTGGACTTCAGAATCTGGAAGGATTCAACTGAAGAAGCCCCCTACTAAATGTCTGTGGATCTTGAGTGGCTAACTGTTGGGAAGACCCAGAACTGTGACTTTAATTATTCTTTAATTATTTTTATTTTTCTTCTCTCCTTTCTGAATTAAGGAATGTAGCCCACATGTGCAGTCCTGGGTGTCAGAGAGGGAGTCATAGACATGTAATGTGGTGATATTTACCTTTTCTTTTGGGTCACTGGTTTAATGATCCATCCTATTTCCTTTCTTCTTTCATCCTCACCTTTCCAGATTCTCCACTACATGTTTGGGCTGTCAAACCCATATAACTCCTAGGCTGTGCTTTCTTCTCAGCTACCTAAAAAGAAAGCTCTTCAAAAATCCAAGCCCTGACAGTTACCATCAGAAACCAATCCCTTGGTGTTGCATTTAATTCTGGCTAATTTACTTTGAAGGATATTTACCAATTGGAATACATCCTAAAAGGTGACTGACATTTATTGAAGGCCTGGTATATGTCAGGCTCTGTGGTAGGTAGTGTTCTTACTTTATCTAATTTAACACTTATGATTGCTCTGGAAGATGAAAATCATTTTTCCTATTATATATATGAAGATACAGGTTCAGAGACGTAAAATGACTTTGTTAAGGTCACACAGCTAGTAAGGGAAAGGATCAGAATTCAGACCCAGGTCTATCTCCTCAGGGGCTGTGACACATGAGAAAGAGCTGAAAGGACCAATGCTAAGACCTGGGGGAACATATATTTGAAGAGCTGTCTTTGAAAAGGGAACTGGACTTCTCCATGTGATTCTGGAAGGCAGCACTAGGATCAAAAGGATGGAAATTCCAAGAGGGTAGGCATTGGTTTGATAAGGGAGAGAATTGGGCTTTCTGAAAACAAAATGGGCTGCCTTGTGAGGGAGTGAGATACCCATCATGGAAGGTATTCAAGCAGAGGCTTTGGCACTTCTTAAGGATATGGTAGAGGAGCTTATACTTACGTAGGTAATTCGACAAGTGGGTTTTTTTTTTAGTATTTTTAACTCTGTTATTATGTGAAAACGATATCAAATTCTTGTCACTTTGATCTGTAAAAAAAAACTAATATCTGTTGAATACTTACTTTGTACCTGCCATTTGCTAGACACTTTTCCTAAAATATCTCATTTAATCCTCAGAAATCCTCCATGAGGTAGGTATTATTTTTCCCACTTTACAAATGAGGAAACCAAGGGTCCAGAAAGTTGAAAAAAATATGCTGGAGGTTGCATAGCTACCAGTAGTATGGCTGATATCTGAACCTATGTCTGCACCTTCTTAGCTGTGTGGCCTAGGGTAAATCACGTGTCCTCTCTGAGCTGTAGTTCTCTCATGTGCGAAATGAGACTTAAGACAGCTTACCTTACTTACTACCTTACTACCTTACAATGGGTTTATGAGGACTAAATGATGTAATAGACAGTTTTCACTAGACCTCCTTGATTGCCCTCAGGAGCCCGGGGTTTGGAGGTAAAGGGCTACCACTTTGGTTTCTTCAGGGTGAATTCAGGCCTGACTGGAACCCTGGGAGTTCTGGGGTTCATTCCTTGTGCTATTAGTAATAGCTGCCGACTCCTAAAAGGGCTTTGTGGCATTAGTGACTAATACCTTAAAAACTTGAGGCCTGAATAAAGAGGTGGATTCAGCCAACAGGTTGGAGCATTGGAGACAATATCAGAAGCCTTGCAGAAAGAAAAGTCTCACCCTGTTATAGAGTCAGATTCAGGGATCACTGTTTTCATTTTTATATTTAATGTCTTATTTTAGGATGAACAAGGTCACAACGCTAGAGCTATGACAGAGCTGGATGCCAAGAATTATAACCCTTAATCCTCCTGCAGCCATCTGGGGAGGCATTAACCCCATTTTCTTGGGGAAGAGGGCAGAGCAGAATCAGTCCTTGCCCAGGTAGCTCTCCAGAAGCTCTCTGGAGGCAGTGTTAGGATCAGGATGTTGGTAAAGTTTTGTCCTTTTTCATAACCCCCAAATTCTGTTTTCAGAAAGCATAAAATTGTGCTTATTCCTGAACTTTTAGAGAGCCTTTCTCAAAATGGGAGTCAGGCATTTCTGGTCAGGGAGCTTTGTCAGTTGAGGCCTGAGTGTTTGGGTGCTGATGGCTTACCTGGTTCCCTCAGGTTGGACATCTGGATGTAACATAGCTGCAGTTGAATTAGAAAGGAAGCATTTCCAAATTGATTGGCTTAGTTTTCTTTGACCTTTCTGCTAAGGAGTAAAGTTAGAGGTGAAACTTAAAAAGGCTTCTCTATGAGAGTTACTTTTACTCATGGCAGGATTCAGAAAGATGCAAGTTAAAGGCAAAAATTGAAGACTGTGGATGCTCTTAAATACAGTGAGAAGGAACAGCATTATCAAAATACGCTTCTGTTTCTCTTTCTGTTCCCTTCCACTATCTTAAGGTAATTGTGGCCTTAGGAGAAGGCAGATAAATTAGCTATGATCACTGAAAAGCAAAGCTCTGAAAACATCAGGGAAATTTTTTTCACAAAGGTCAGATGGCAATACAGAACTCATACAGGGAGGGAAGACAACAAGGTGAGTTTTCATCCAAGGCCTCCCACAAAGTGAAGCATTTCTTAAGATGGTCTTCCACAGAGAAAGCTTCAGTCAGCCCCGTATAGAATCATTTTAACCAGGAGACGCAAAGACAGCAAAGAACTTTTCCAAACATGCTTTGCTCGTGGGCCTGTCCTACCAGCCTCTCCCAGATGTTGTCCTTGTGCCAATTTAGTTCATGACTCTGAAATGCACTCTAAGTTTGTGTTTGAGACCAGCAGAGTCCCGGTGATTTTGATTCCTTTGCCTAACCCTAAGAAATGGTAAGGGACAAAGTTTCTTTGGGGCAAGACTGCATGGACATGGTCTGATTAAAGATAGTTATAGTGACTAGTGGCCAACAGCCTGGGTCCTGGAGTTAAACTATCTAGTTTGACTCTTCATTTGATAACCGTAACTTTGGGCAAGTTAACTTCCCTGTGCCTCACATCCTTTGTTGGTAAAATGAGGATAATAATAGTACCTCTTTTATAGGGCTGTTGTGAGGAGTCTGTCAGGTAACACTTGTGAAATACATAGAATTTGCAATAAATATTATTTACCAGGCTCACTGTCAGGCCCTTCTATTCTTTATCACTATGGGAAGGTAGGCTTTATCATCCCTGTTTTATGGATTAGGAAACTGAGGTTTAGAAATGCTGTCACAAAGAAAGTAGGTGGCAGAACTGGGATTTGAACCTTAGGTCTGTCCGACTCCACAGCCCAACTGTTTTATTTTTTTATACAAGTTCCAGTTACCTTTATGCATTGGAAGTAGATTTTTTTCCCTCTTCTATAGAATTGCTTCAGTAGGAAAACCATGCCAAACAGAGTGAAAGGAAACTTGCATACATCTTTTGCATAATTCAAAACATTGAAAGGGGGTCAGTTGTCACTCAGCTGGGGGCACCTTGCTGCAGTGGGCAACAGCAAGGCCAGAGAGGAAAGAGAATACAGATGACTTGGGTTCCATTTCCACTTTACTGCTACCTAGCCGTGTGTTCTTAGAATCGTGGGATAGTGGCATTGGAACAAGTTTTGTAGCTCTTCTCGGAGTCTACCTCTCATTTTACAGATGGAGAAATAGGCTGAGGGAATGAAATGCCTTACTCAAAGTCACATAGCCAATTAGAGGCAGATCTTGGCCTGGACCACAGGACCCTAGACCCCAGTTCAGTGCTTGTTCCTTAGTACCACATAGCACTGTGCTGCAGTTCTACCTTGTTAAATGGGGATGATAATAACTTTTTAGCTTCCTCGCAAGGTTGTTGTGAAAGTTCAAATGAAAAGCATGAACAAAAGTGTTGTGATGGGTATAAAACACTGAATGCATGCAAGGTAGTCATGCTGTTGTTCATTCAGCAAGTATTTATTGGCACCTGCTAAGTCCACATCACTTCTTCTTGAAGATACAAGAGGATTAATAGATGAA